GGATGGAATGAGTCTGGAGGATGTCCCTTGAAAGAACTGTACCCAAGCCAAGAACAGGGTCAGAAGTTAACACGGGTTCAACTCAGCTCAGCACAACTCCCTGAGGTGTGTCATGTGCCAGGCCCCAGGCTGGGCAGTGCAGGAGATGCAGAGAGAGCCCAGCCCGAGCATTCCTGGGGATCCATGCTGGGTTAAAGGCAGAACAGGCACCATGGGGCACAGAAGAGATGCTTGTTTGGTACCAAGGCCTCTCAGAAGTGCGGGCTGAGCCTCAGAGGGAAATATGAATTTGGAGGAGGAATTTGGAAGGTTGTGGGGCAGTGCTGGGGACCCCCTTAGGGAGTTCTCAGTCTGGTGGGGGAGGCAGGTCAGAAAAGGCCTCAAAGAGGCAGTGGCCCTTGAAGGGAATGGCATACCTGGAAGGAGAAACGGCCAGAGCAAAGGCACTGAGGCATGAAATTACAGGAAGGAAAATGGAAGAATCAGCTGTGTCTAGGAGGTTGTGTCATAAGAGGCCCAGCCAGAGAGGCTGGGAGGGGAGAAGCCACTCATGTCTTGGAAAGTGAGGCTGGGGGGCTGGGACTTTATCCTGGGGGCACTAAGATTCATGCAGGAGTGAGCAGAAGTGGATGTGGCCAACTGCAGGTGTAGAAAGACCCTGTGGGGTCATGTAGGCTGGGAACATGAATAGAGGGACAGACTAGGGCAGGAGGGTGCAGAGAACCCAAGAAGCTGGATAGGACTCTGGAGAGAGAATGTATCCTGAGCCAGGGCCTTGGAGATGGAGAAAGATCCAGGAGCAGGTACAGTGGTCTGACAGTCTATGGGGGCACCTGGGAGTCTAACCAGGAGCCTGGAGGAATGGCAGACCCTCTGGAGATGGGAAACCCGGGAGGAAGAGCAGGCTGGGGTGGGGATGGAGAACGAGGGTGGTGAGAAGCAGATCCTTAAGCAGCAGGAATGATAAGTTTGTGCCTGGAGGGGTCCAGGTGGGGGCAAGAGGGTCCAGCCTCACCAGGTTCACTCTCTCCCCTCCCAGACTTCAGCAGAGCCCTGGTCCCTCCTCCACAATGTGGCTTCTCCTCTTCTCCCTCCTGCTGACATCTGCAGGTGAGGTGGGCCCAGGTCAGGTTGTGCTCTGTGGGAGTGGGGTACCCCCTAACTGCAATCTACTGGCCCCTCCCTCACCCAGAGACCATCTCACGATTCCTCCCTCACCCTGCCCCGCCTCAGCCACCTACCCACCTGCCCATATCTTTGAGTCCTCACTCCACTGCGACAGCTGTCAAGGCTGCTGTGGAGTCCCCAGGCCATGTGGGGCCTCTCACTGCCCATGACAACAGGCACAGCCCTGGGGTGGCACCGGCCTGAGTTTGAGTTCTGGGGTTGCCCCTTTCTTGCTGTGTGACCTTGAGGAAATCACTTCACTTCTCTAGGCCCAGCCACTTCCTAGCTACTTAATGTCTCTGTTATTGGTCCCCCCAACTGTCCCACAAAGAGAACAGGTGTGGGAGGCACTGGAAGGTGCCTGGCCCCGGGGAGTGCCCTGTAAGGCTGTGCTAGCTTTGCTGAGAGCCCAGTACATGCCAGGCATGGCGCTCAGCACCAGGGAGGCTCATCTGACCCAGGAAACATCACTGCGCAGCCCTGGGCTACTGGCCTCATTTAACAGAGGAGGGGGCTGTGACTCAGAGAGGGGCAGCCACTAGATCAAGGTGACCCTAGGTGGCAGGAGAAGTCCAAACCACATTCATCCACCACCCTTGAAGAAATGTACTGTAACCTGATGCCTCTACCCTGGAGGAGTGGAGGGCTGACTTTCATTAACTCCCACACACATGACCCTCTCGCCCCTGGGGGGCCCCTCCAACCTCCCCTCACCCCGCTGCCAGCATCCCCTTGGGCTCTGTCCGTGCTCTCTCCTCCTGCCTCCTGCCCGCCTGCTGCACCCAGCTGGGGCCCCCGCCCTCCTCCAGCTTAGACTGGCCAGGCCCGGCCTCGGTGCCCAGCTGTTCTGCCAGCACCCTCTGCCCTTCTCCAAAGGATGACCCCACCCTTCCCTTGTTAAGCCCCTTGCCCACCCCATCAAGATCTCCCTGCTATTGGCCCAGTTCCCAACCCTACCAGGCAGAGTGTGGGCATTTGGTCTTGGCTGGGAAATCCTGCCCTAGTGTGGGCATAACTGTGTGTCTGACTGTGACCTTGAGGGGACATACTCATGTTGCCCAGTATAGAGGGCCGTGGTCCTGTGACCTTGAAACATCCCTGTTGATGACTTTGTGTATGGTACTGTTGGCAGGGAGGGGGAATGCAAGGCCCTGTGTGTCCTGCATGTGTGAACCAGGTACCCATGAGTGACCTTGAGCACCAAGTGACTGACTTGGGGGCTGATCTAGAATGGATAAATATGTCCCGTCCTGGTTGCCTGTGTCTCCAGCTATATGTCCTTGACCTTGAATGCCCAGACCTGTGTCCAGATGCCCTGTCTAGATGATCTAGTGGGTCCACAGCCCTTTGAGTCTCCACAGAGTGGCTTGGGGATGAGTCACAGTTTTTGCCTGGACTGTCTTCATCTGGGTCTGGTCATACATCTGACTTACTTTGGCTCAATGTGTGTCCACAACCTGAACCTCCACACATTATGTCTGTATAAATAAATCTATGAGTCCTTTAAAATAACTAATATCTATTAAGCAGTCACAATATGTGAGGCATCTCATACACACACACACATGCTCCCATTTAACCCTTACAACAATCCCATCTTACAGACAAGGAAATAGAGGGGTGGGGTGGGGGTTTACTCTATCACTCCAAATTTAACCATGATACTATAGGCCCATGTCTGTGAACAAGTTTTGGGGGCCTGAGTACATGTCATTTTCTCTCCACATGTACCATTATTAAGGACCCCACCTTGCATGCCCAGGCCCCATGTGCAAGTGTGAGCACCTGTGACCTGTTGTGTGCACGCCCACCCCGTGTCTTCTATTTGCAACCCAGTGCCTGTGAACATGTGTGTTTGCGCTGGCACACACGCTCACGTCTTCACTGTCCCTATTCCTACGCACATACAGACCCCGGTGCCGTGATTCCTGAGGCTGCAACTCATGTATGTGCAAGTGCATTTCAGCTTCCAGTGCTGTCCACATCGATTCCCATGTGTGGGAGACCCGTTGCACCCATTCACTTGCCCATGACCTTGCATGGTCCCGTCTGTGTCCTTGTATATGTGACACGCTGCAGTTGGCTGAGATGTCCACGCTCCGGAGCCAAGACTGTGTGTCTTACGTATTGAGTGACCACATCCATTTGATGCCAGTGACAGCTCAGTGACCTTGAATGGTTGGTTCCAAGTGGCCATCTGCCCAGACCATATCCATTGTCCTTGTCTCCACTCCCAATGACAGAGGACTTCTTGCACTCTGGTCCCTTCCCTCTCCTCTCTCTCCCAGGGTCCTGTGGCAAATGGATAGGGGCCAGGGACATATAGCTGGTCACAGTTCTGGAGAAAATCAGCAAAAATTGTAAAAGCTAGAGAGAAGGCGGTGCTGAAAAATCAGTAAGAAGTCAGGGGAGGCACAGGTGAAACATACATAGTGAGAGCAGTGTGCAAGGGAAAGGACTCTGACCTCAGACCCCCCTCTGTCTCCTCTCCCAGCAGCCCAGGACAACAATGGCAAGGTGCTGAAAGGTGAGGAGTGTGTGCCCCACTCCCAGCCTTGGCAAGTGGCTCTCTTCGATCGTGGACGCTTCAACTGTGGGGCTTCCCTCGTCTCCCCATACTGGGTGCTGTCCGCAGCCCACTGCCAAACCCGGTATGAGGGCAGGGCTCCAGGGCCTGAGGGGGCGTGCTGGTGAGGGTCTAGGGACCTGAGAATCTTGGACTCAGAGGAAGAGAGCTGGAGCCTGAGGATCGGGTTCCAGTGTGGGCATGACTATGGTCCCTAGGGGACGGGGGGCTTTGGGGCTTGGAGGGGAGGGTAGTGGGGTATCTAGATTCCCAAAGGGTCAGGCGACCCCTTCGATTTTTCCCTCCACTCCTCCTTCCACTTGCGCGTAATCACCGGTCCGCGCAGAAACATGAGAGTGCGCCTGGGCGAGCACAACCTGCACAAGCACGACCGCACGGAGCAGCTGCGGACCGTGTCCCGCATCATCCCACACCCCGGCTACGTGGCGCGCACCCATCACCACGACCTCATGTTGCTGCGCCTAACCCGGCCCGCGCGCCTCTCCGCCCACGTGCGCCCAGTATCGCTCCCCATGCGCTGCCCCCAACCCGGCGAGCCCTGCGTGGTGTCCGGCTGGGGCCTGGTGTCCGGCTATGACCGGGGGGCCACAGGCATCCCAGAGGCAGAAGGTGCGTGAAATGAAGGAGCTGGCTACCGGGCCCCTAGGGGCCCTGGCCTCCAGGGCTCTTGGGTGGAGGGAGCAGGGCCTGAAAATGTATGTATTTACCCTAAGTTCACTGTCCTTCCCAGTGTATCTCCCAGACACACTGCATTGTGCCAACATCAGCATTATCTCGTCCACGTCTTGTAACAAGGACTACCCAGGACACCTGATGAACACCATGGTGTGTGCGGGTGTGGAAGGCGGAGGCACGGACTCCTGTGAGGTCAGAGCCAAGAGGGGGCCATGCCCTGAGGAGAGAGGGAGGGGCACAGGTCTGAGAGTTGGGGCAGGGTCGGGTTTTGCTTGCTTTGGGCCAGGGAAGAGACTAGGAATAGGTCTGGGATGGAGAAAGAAGAGCAGTTAGAATGGGGGTAAGGCTGGAGTTAGCTTCAGTGGTGGGTTTGGGTTGGGCAATGTGGTGGCCCATTAGGGATGCCATGGGCTGGAGTTGAGAATGGAGATGGGTTTGTTTGACTTCAAATGGGAAGTGCGTCAAGGTTGATTTGGGGATGGGGTAAATTTTAGTTAGGATGCAAAGACATGACAATGGATGTGAGTCTTGTTTGGTTTGCAATGGAGAAGACGTAGAGGTTGGGTTGGGGTGGGGTTGGACATGGGTTGGCTGAGTTATGTTGAGTTGGGGTTGGGTTCAACTGGGTTGTATTGAGTTGAGATGGGTGGGGTGGGATTTTGATTGAGATTGTGAATGGTGGTCAGGATGGGGATGGGAACACTGCATCCGAAGCTTCTCATTCAAGCTTTCCCTTCTCCCTGCAGGGTGACTCCGGGGGACCCCTGGTCTGTGGAGGTGTCTTGCAGGGCATTGTGTCCTGGGGTGATGTTCCTTGCAACACTACCACCAAGCCTGGTGTCTACACCAAAGTGTGCAGCTACTTGGAGTGGATCAGGGACACCATGAAGAGGAACTGACTATTTTAGTCTTCCCCCTGTGTCTCTGGCTGAGCAATCCCATGACTGCTCCATCCTGACGTGGGACAGAATTGAGTCAGCCCCCAAAGACCCCATTTGTCCAAGGCCCAGATGTTAGCCAAGGGCTAGTACTGTTTGAGGTCAGAGCTGGTGCTCAAGTTCATCTGTTTAACTCCAAGATAACAGCACTGATGCAAGTTTCTCTGTAAACATTTCTGTGACTTTCTTCTTGGGGTAAAGGGAAATGGGGACCAGAGACTGGGCTGGGAACCCAGACCCAATGAGCACTATTCCTTTCTGCCCACTGCCCTGATCCCTAGGACAGGAGAAATAGCCCAAAGCAGGGCCCTGTTCACTCAACACATGGGATCAACTGTGTGACCTTGAGCGAAAGACTCAACCTCACTCTGCTCAGTTTCCCCATCTGTGAAACAGGGACCCTCATATTGCTTACCTCATAGGGTTCATATGAAGAAATTCATATGAACTGATTCAAACAGGGCCTGGCTCTGGGAAAATATCTCTGGAGTCCAGTAAAAGGACCCAGCACACACTAGATTATCAAGAATGGCTTCATTTCCCCCCCCCCCC